GATCATTCGGTAAATGTCCCACCGGATCGAAATATTCTCTCCCATAAATTTTTACTGAGTATTATATTTTCAAGGTGTCGTGATAGTGGAGCTACTGTCCGTTCAAAAGCGTTGGCCTTGCTGGCAGAATGCACATTTTCTACCAATCCAACCATTATGCTTGCTATGAAGCAAATATTTTTCCGTTCTCGGCCAACAGTCTTTACAACTCCACACATTGAAAATAACAACATCAATATGGAATCTCCACTCGAGCTAGAAGATGAGGATCTTGATTTACCAAATGCTTCCTTAGTTGTTTCTATGCTGCATCGTCGGGCACTGGATGACAAGGTTACTGTACGGAAGTCAGCTTTACAGGTTTTAGAAAACTTAATGAGAATTGACAATGAGATGCTTACGGATAAAAATATTGAGGTATGTATTGTAGTTCATAGCTTGTTGCTAGTATACTATGAATATATTTGTAATATTTTTCTTAAGGACAGCAGTCACTCATTCTAGGAATATATGTGTCACTCCAATAAAAAAAAATTATGATTAACAATTTCTGTTTTACACTATTTGTTCTTGAACAATTTTTTTCAGGAAAGACAATTGCAGGTTTGCAAGTTTCAGGGCAATAAACTCCCAAAATCACAATTTTCTAAGAAACTTACAGAAATTACTCAAATATCAAAATGATCTAATCATTCATATAGTATTATATATACTTTGTTTTTATACTGATTGTAAAATTTAGGCCTTTCATTTGAAAATCATCTTATACATGTTAACGTTCAGGTTTTTATGCTGTAAAATGCCCTTACCTTAAAATAAACTGTGGCTAGACTTTAGGCCCCAGATTGGTACTCCATAGATCTGTTTCATAAAAAATTTAAAATTTCTTTTCCTGAATTTAAGTTTTGTAGCAAAACTTGGATTTTGCTCTCAGTTGAATGAGTTTGATGTACTACCCATATATTCTTTTCAAGTTTCTGTAATAGTTATCTATTATCATATTATAAAGTCAAAGATAAAAGTTTATATAATGACTTATTTGGGAAAAGTTTATAGTAGGACTGCACCTGTCAAAGACTAAGTCCTCAACTCTAGCCAGCAATCTTAGGGAATCAAGTTCCCACTACCCCTCTTCCTCCCACTATTTACCAGCAAACCCTATCCTCCTCTTCATTCTCCATTATCCCTTCCACACCCTCCTGAAGGTTTACATGACTCCCTTTTGTTACAGCAGTGTTCTTCCCCAGATCCTTCCCCCTAGAGATTCTTCCTGATACTTCACCTCCTTCCCCTGGTCCCTTGTCTCATTCCTCAGGTTCTTCTTCTACTTCTTCACCACCCATTTCTACCCTTTTTACTTGGGGATTACTTCATAATTCTTCCTAGTTTAGTTCCACACATACTGTGGTCTTATCTCTCCTTTGCTGCAGCCCATACCTGTTTTCCTCACTCATTCTCTTTCCTGATCCCTCAACCTGTGGGTCATTCTCACAGAATCCCTTATTTTTTCTTTTGACAACTTGTTCTCCCTCCTCAAATGCTTTGATACCCTCCATTTGATCTATTTGCCATTTGCCTGTAACCCCCTTCCCCCTTTTACTAATTCCTGCCCTGTTTACCCAATTTACCCCTAATTACCCTATTCACTACTATGGTATCCAATAGTGCAGTATGACTTTTGACATGCAACCCATTTTGTTCTAATCATTAACTCAGTTTTACCCTTTTATTTCCATGATATCTTACCATAGTGCTATATGATATTTGATGTCTAACACGTTTAATTGTTACGAACATTAACCATAAATCAACTGAGAAGCACATGCAGTACTTCATGCATGTAAACCTTCCTTTACACTATCACTCTTTATAGTTTGACTATATTATCTTGACTCTGTCAATATGTGAAAGTTTAGTTCTTAATTCCGTTTGCTTTGTCTTTGATGTAAAAAAAAAAAAAAAAAAAAAAAAAAGAAGATAAAGATAAAGATAAGGGCTCCTTATTATTCCTACAAAAAAAAAAAAAAAAACTTTTATTGAAGTTTAACCAATTAAAGCCGGTATATTTTGAAGCCAAAAATAAAAGATTCCGGGCGGCTACAAAATCGGACTCTGCCCGCTGCTGCATCGGAGCATAAGCCCCGTTACAGCGTCACACTGGCGGGACACCCGGCAATGTTTATTTTTTTGGGTGTCCCATATGTGGGACACCCGTCGTTCGTGGGTTAACCCATAATAAACATTGCCTGGCGACGCGCTAGTGGGATGTTGTATTGGAGCTCGCGCTCCAAATACGTTGTGGGCCAAGGCCGGCACAAAGGCAGATTCTGGGCTGGCCCTGTGCACCGATTTTGTAGCCGCCCAGAAACTATTATTTTCGGCTTCAAAATATACTGGCATTAGTGGGTTAAAGTGATACCTAGCACAAGTCGATCAGAGTTTTTACTGATTTTGTGAAATTACATGAAGTTCAAAAACAACATTTCGACTTCACCAAGTGATAATTTAGGGTATCAAGGACAGGATGATCAAAGAAAATAGAAAAGCTAAATTTAAAAAATATTCCTGAGAACAAGATATTAACTAAGCCGTACTAGGGTTACCTCCTCACACACCCCATATCCCACTTACAGCATACATAATTCATGAAAACCATTTGGCAGTTTTGGAAAGGCTATACATTGATCAAGTCAGCTTGGATTGGGGGGGTGGGATATCAAGCAGGCAGTTGTCTTTAGACTTTAGGGGGTTAACAGAAGTTTATGCATGTTTGCTTTCTTTGCTGTCTCAAGTTGTATTGCTCCTTGGAATTACATTTAGAATAGAACTCAGTTCCTTTTAATAAATCAATAGTTTTCATTAACCCCAGAAGAACTTGCGGATCATATTTAGGCAAGCTCAGGGAGGACACAAAGCAGATTGGACGCAGTGTCTGTTAAATACCAGAAAATGAATGTGATGTGTCCAAATCTCATAATGCAGATTGTAATTAGTAGAACTAAAATTGCAACTGAAATAAAAAATGATCAAGTTGATTTAGTGAGCATCCAAACATAAAATGAAGCATTTGGAACATTAATAATTTTGGCTGCAATGTATCACAAAAAAAGAAAAAAAAATGTTCATGTTAAAATGTAAGAATAAAAAATGTAAGATTCATTAGCTTCCATCAGAAAAATTAATATGCAACCCTCAAAATTAAACTGTCCTTAATGTAGAAAAGCCCTTATCTTTTCAGTTAGAAGTAGTAAATTATAGGATGAGAAATAGTTATTAGGAAAATTCTTGCACTTTTTATAGTATAAACATTCTTACCAAAAAACTGGCAACTCACTCTGGACTCTGGAGTGGTCCAAGTTCCCAAGTCTCTTTTGAGAAAAAATGTGGTGTAAAGCAATGAATCAAAAATGATATGATTGTTCGTTTCTGAAAATCTATAGATTTGCCTTGCACATTACCCTACAGACTTACTTCAAATCTTTAGATTGTTGAAAGTCTTCATTACAATGTACAACTTTCCACAGGTCTTAGTAGAGCAATGTTACAANAGGTTGCAATTCAATTACACGAAGAGGATGTAAACAATTTCATAATACTGCTAGTGTAGTAATCCAGGCTACTGTTTTGTTGCCATGCAAGCTGGAATGCAAGACACTTGCAAAGAGCAGGTTGCACACGAGGTGGCGAGTGTGGTTGGCGGGAAGGAGGAGAGCTGGCTTGTCTTACACTGACTCAACAACCTATGTTAACACTTTTCTGCATATATATATATATATATATATATATATATATATATATATATATATATATATACTATATATATATATGCGTGTGTGTGTGTGTAATGGTATGGTGTGTGTGTGTGTGTGTGTGTGTGTGTGTGTGTGTATTATTTATGTATATCTGTGTGCGTTGTGTGTGTGTGTATGTGTATGTGTATGTTGTGTGTGTGGTGTGTGTGTGTGTGTGTGGTGTGTGTGTGTATGTATTTATGTATATTTGTGTGTGTGTGTGTGTGTGTGTGGTGTGTGTGTGTTGTGTGTGTGTGTGATGTGTGTTGTGTGCGTGCGTGTATGTGTGTGTGCGTGTATGTGTGTGTGTGGTGTACATATAGTACATGTATACATATGACACGACACGTTTAGACCTGTACATGCCACTCATCGACATGTATCATTGCCACCGTTCGTGTAGAAAGACATTCGGACTCTAGGAATCCACCCATACTCATCGCGTGGAAAGGAGTTGATGGACATGGCGTCTAAAATTGGGTTGTCTCAAAATAGGCATTGCACCAAAGAGAAAAAAATAAATTCGCACAATGCAGTTCACACTCCGTCCCACCCACATGCAGGCGCGTTAATTGCAAGGGAATAGTAGAAGAGCATTGTGAGCGAGATAGTGTGATGCATTTATTGCGGAAAACAAATAAGAGATGGTTTGCAAATAAAGAAATAACATGCGTCGCGTGAATTTCGCTGCATAAAGTCCGCACTGGAAAGAATAATCTATTAAAAAATTCCACCAATCACACCACTCAAAGATCCAAAACGTCATCGTTTCCCCGCCAATAAGCGTATAGAAAATGTGACGTCATCCTTCGACCTAACCAACCAAATACTTTAGAGAAGTGACGTCATCTAATGATTACACCAATCACGGATGCCATGAATGTGACGTCACTAAAAAGGCGTGCGCTGATTGGCTCGTCCGCCCGACCCAAGCTTCTAGAAATGTCCTCGACGTTAGGCAGCGCAACAGGCGGCCTGCGGCACCACTCCTCCCTCGACGACGCCGGAGAACACACGCGCTCGAGAGGAAGATTAGATTCCTTTCAAACGCTCGACGTGAGTATCGAACCTCTGTCAGATCGTAAGAATACTGTCCTTCTCGACATGAGGATTCGTTGTACCGCCTTGTTTCTAACTGACATTCGTTATTTTGGCGCCAAATGGCTTTATTTTGCAAAGGGATTGGCACTCGCGATCTGATGGTCTAGATCACGACAAAAAAAAAAAAAAAAACTTCATGCATTTCTTATTTTTGATAATCATAGGCCTATTATCTCCCTGGCACCCTTGCAACCCGAGGAAGAGAGTGTCATCTTGAAATAAGTCATTTTAGGAGGAAATAATTTCAATGCCAGGTCACGAGGCATCGAGGGGCGTGGGTGCCAGAGAAACGTCGAGAAGCTTTCTCAAACCTTTATCAACGATTTATTTTTTCTATGCCCAATTTTTATATATTTATGGGTTTACCCCCTTTTTCGGCATTTTCTTTTTCTCCTTTTTTTCTTTTTTAATCGTATTCGTGTATTTTCCTGTTTTAATATTTGATTTTTTTTTTTTTTTTTTTTTTTTTTTTTTTTTTTTTTTTTTTTACATTTCATATATTTATTTATCATGTTTCGCCTTTGATTATTTTTTTTTTCGAAAGAGGGAAGCTTGTAATCTTTTGTCTTTCACTTACAGGTTTTTCTAAATTGTTTTTAAATTACGCACAGACCATGACGGAAAGATAGATCGTTGATATATGTTATTTGGTACATTTAATAATATTAATGCATTAGCCAAAAAAAGGAGAGAAAATTAATGATGAATTCAATTCTTGGAGCTTGAGATTAGGTTAAACCTTTTTAGGACCATGTTTTTCCTTTCGTGGGCGAAATACCTAAAGAAATTTGGTTATCATGAACCTATTATTAGAAAGAAATGGAATGATAAGTTGCGTTCGTGCTAAGCATTCTCCACAAATAAGTGAATTACAAAGGCAGGTTAAATTCTTTTTTTCGAAATGTTTGTTATGCTCCTCTCGTTGTCTTTTCTTTCTCTCTTTTTCTCTGTCTTTCTTATCTCTTCTTCCTTTCCCTCCTTCCTTCTTTCGTCCCCTCCCCCCTCCCCCTATTCTTTCCATTTTCTCTCCTTCCTTCCTCTCCAGTCTTCCATCCATTTTCTCTGTCTGTCTGTCTTCCCCTCTCCCCCCCTCTCTCTCTCTTCCTCCCTTCCCTCCCTCCCAACTCTCTCCCTCTCCTTCTCCCTCCCTCCCTACTCTCTCACTCTCCTCCCTCCCCTCCTCTTCTTCTCTCCCTCTCCCTATCTCCCTTCCTTCCCTCCCTCCCTCCCTGTCCCTTCCTCCTCTCTCCATCTCTTCTATCTCCCTTCCTCCTCCCTCTCTCCCTCTCCGTCCCCATCTCTTCTATCTCCCTTCCTCCTCCTCTCTCCCTATCTCCCTTCCTCCCCCTCTCTCTTTTTTCCTATCTCCCTATCTCCCTTCCTCCCTCCTTCCTATCTTATTTCCTCTCTTTCTCCTTCCCTTCCTCCCCCACTGTCTCTCCCTCTCTCCAGTCTCACTCCCCCCTTTCTCCCTCTCACTTCCCCTCCCGCCCTCCCTCCTGGCCTGATACAGGAAGGGAGGATGTAAATATATATCAATATTAGGGATAATTGTTAAGAATCAGTAAAAGATGAGTTAGTGACCGAAGGAAACGACTATAAGAGTAGTTTACAGGGAAAAATGGTTGGTCGCAACGTGCTAACCTGAGCATGGCCGGTTCGACAGGTTCGTAACCTTTTCCGGGTCTGGTTATTCCCCTTTTTATTATCTAATTATACGCATGCAGGCAGTCATAGATGATGTAGAAGAACAATATTGTTTGGTTTGGTTTTTAGTTTCATTTCCTGTCTCCTTCGCTTCGTTTACTCATGTCTCCCTCCTTTTCCATTTTCCTCTCCCCTTTCTCTCATTTCCCCTCCTTCGTTCCCCTCTCCCGTTCCCTCCTTCCTTCTAAGGTCCTTGGCCGCCCGGTATTCGTGTCACGTGATGTACCGGACAAAAATTAGGGCGTGTGACAGATGATTTCGCTGTTAAAAGACTAATTACCGGTTATCATCAACGACCCCGTTCTGATGTTGGGGTTTGGGGAATTTGCAGGATTGTTTCGTGAATGTTTCAGAGTCGCAGCGCGCGAGTTGAAGTATGTTCCATTACTGTTTTTTTTCTTTCTTTCTTTTTCTTTCTTTCTTTCTTTCTTTCTTTTCTTTTCTATCTCTCTCTCTTTTTCTTTTCCAAGTGCCCTAAAGTCTGTCACGATTTCATGTTGTCGTTGCGTGAAACGGTAGCAACTGTCAATAATATAACACGAACAAAAGCTTTCGTAAGTCACGCTTTGTTCCCTCCCCCTCTTCCACTCTTGAATTCCTTCTCTTTCTCTCTCTCTCCGTTTCCATTCCTTTTCTTTCTCCTTTTCCCTACACTTTATTTATTTACTCTTCCCTCTGCCAACCGCCACCGCTGTGCCTCGCCCTCGTCCTTGTCCGAGACACGTTTCTCGCTCATTCTCTCCCGCTAACCTCGTTATTATATTGTCCTTTTTATGGGCGTGGTGCGAGTAGGGCGGGTGTTGAGCAAAGGCTCGAGTGCGAGGAGCTGGACGAAAATTAGTATCCTTTGATGAGTCACGGGTGAGGGACGCAGCCCACGCTTGCGCTCATGGCCCGTTAAGGTCACTCAAGGATCAGCGCACGTGCCACTTTCACCCTTAATGACTTCTATGCCTAGATTTGGGCCGGGTTTCTGTTTTTCGAGTTAATTTACCAGTCTTTACTCATATTTTAGTAATAACTTGAATGTGTTATTTGATTTTTTAAAATTATTTTCTGCGTAACACTAGTTTTGAAGTAGAAGTGTTGCGAAGAACAGAAAACCGATTAATTTCCCCTTTTTTATCGACTGTTACTACTAGAACGTAAAGATTAATATGTTCCTGGTGACTGGTGCTTGACGGAGTATCAGTTCTAGTTCTAGGGTTTTAAGAAAAATCTGCGAGTCAGAAATAGAAAGGATGCTTGATGTGGAGTTTTGTCTGCGTGCTGTGGAGAGGGGAAGCGGGGGGGAGGGCATGAGAGGACGGTCAAGGAGTGCGTTCAGAGGGACCAGGTCCCATACTTCTCGTAAGCAGAACTAGTTTTGAAAGGAGATTCAGCGACGAATTGACCGTAATATACGATCGGATTAAATGCCGCGATCCAGCCCTTGGATAGCGCGAGAAATTTCATTACCTTAGATGTATCCTAAAGTCAGTCGAGATCATCATAGTCAGAAAAAGTCAATTGCCGTTGGAGCAGGAGCTCAATCCAGGTGATCTTGGCCACCGACGATGCTGAGGGCTTGACTGACGGGCGTAGGTGGTGGGCAGAGGGCGCCATCACATGTATTTGACGGGATAGGTTGCCGTGACGAACAAAATTTCTTTGCAGTAACAAAGTGTCTTAATCATGTATTTTACTTCTATCTGGGGAAGGATCCACCTGTCACACCACCTCGGTGCTGTGGCGAAAAAGAAATGGACAATGTTTTCAGTGTCCGCAAACATACTCTTGCTGGGTCGTCCTATATTTTTGTTAGTATTGCTGAAAACTGCATTCATTGCAGTGCTGCTTTAATTATACATATGTATTTTTGCCATTTTCCTATATTGCGTACTAGAATTATACCCCTACTTTTGCATAGTCTACATAGTTCTCAGGTTAATACTGACAGTATTACTATGGTCTTCATTAATTATTATATACTTGAATTTTCTTGTCAGTCTTCAAAATAAACAGTGATACATCGTGGTGTTTATTAATGCACACTCATATTAGTTTCTTAAAACATTTCAGATCATGGTTAAGGCCGTTGGGATCGACTTGGGAACAACGTACTCCTGCGTCGGAGTCTTCCAGCATGGCAAGGTGGAGATCATCGCCAACGACCAGGGCAACCGCACAACGCCCTCATACGTCGCCTTCACGGACACCGAGCGGCTCATTGGAGATGCTGCCAAGAATCAGGTCGCAATGAATCCCAACAACACTGTGTTCGATGCCAAACGGTTGATTGGGAGGAAATTCGAGGACTCGTGCGTTCAGGGGGACTTGAAACACTGGCCCTTCCACGTGATCAGCGACGGAGGCAAACCCAAGATCGCGGTCGAGTACAAGGGGGAGAAGAAGACCTTCTTCCCAGAGGAAATTTCTTCGATGGTTCTCATCAAGATGAAGGAAACCGCAGAAGCCTACCTGGGCGGAATCGTCAAAGATGCTGTCATTACCGTGCCTGCCTATTTTAATGACTCGCAGAGACAGGCAACTAAGGATGCTGGTACCATTGCCGGCCTCAATGTCTTGCGTATCATCAATGAGCCAACAGCAGCCGCCATTGCGTATGGCCTGGACAAGAAAGTGGGAGGTGAACGAAATGTCCTCATCTTCGATCTGGGAGGTGGTACGTTCGATGTCTCGATCCTTACCATTGAAGATGGCATCTTCGAAGTGAAATCAACAGCTGGCGACACTCACCTGGGAGGCGAAGACTTCGACAACAGACTTGTCAATCATTTCATGAATGAATTCAAGCGAAAGTTCAAAAAGGACTTCATCGAAAACAAGCGTGCTGTTCGCCGCCTTCGCACAGCTTGTGAACGAGCGAAGAGGACACTTTCTTCATCTACACAGGCCAGCATTGAGATCGATTCCCTGTATGATGGCGTGGATTTCTATACCTCTGTCACTCGTGCCCGGTTTGAGGAACTGTGCGCCGACCTCTTCCGTGGAACCCTTGAACCCGTGGAAAAGTCCCTCCGTGACGCCAAGATGGACAAGGCTCAGATCCATGAAATCGTTTTGGTTGGTGGATCTACAAGGATACCAAAGATCCAGAAACTCCTGCAAGACTTCTTCAACGGAAAGGAGTTGAATAAGTCCATCAACCCAGACGAGGCCGTTGCTTATGGAGCTGCTGTCCAGGCAGCTATCTTAGTAGGAGACAAGTCTGAGGCTGTGCAGGACTTGCTGCTTTTGGACGTAACGCCCCTCTCATTGGGCATTGAAACAGCAGGTGGCGTGATGACCGCTCTCATCAAGCGCAACACAACCATTCCCACGAAGCAGACCCAGACCTTCACAACCTATTCAGATAACCAGCCAGGTGTACTCATCCAAGTGTACGAGGGCGAGCGAGCCATGACCAAGGACAACAATCTCCTGGGGAAATTCGAGCTCGCCGGCATTCCTCCAGCTCCGCGAGGCGTGCCGCAGATCGAAGTCACATTTGACATTGATGCCAACGGCATTCTAAACGTCTCTGCCATTGACAAGTCGACTGGCAAAGAAAATAAAATCACCATAACCAATGACAAGGGTCGCCTCTCCAAGGAAGAGATCGAACGCATGGTTCATGACGCTGAGAAGTACAAGGAGGACGACGAAAAGCAACGGGAACGCATTTCTGCCAAGAATAGCCTCGAGTCCTATTGCTTCAACATGAAGTCAACAGTGGAGGATGAAAAGTTCAAGGATAAGGTCTCCGAGGAAGACCGCAACAAAATCCTTGAAGCTTGCAATGAAAGTATCAAGTGGCTCGATGCCAATCAGCTTGGGGAGAAAGACGAGTATGAACACAAACAAAAGGAGGTTGAGGGTATCTGCAACCCCATCATCTCGAAGATGTACGCGGCTGCAGGAGGAGCCCCAGGCGGCATGCCAGGCGGTGCCCCAAGCGGAGGCGCATCTGCTGGCGGCCCAACCATTGAGGAGGTCGATTAACTTGATTCACTTCCAATAGATATGTCTTCACTGTAAACCACTTTCTCAAGTTAAAAATGTCCATATATACATATGGATAATGATTACTGCAGAAGCGTTTGGAATGAAAATAAGAAAATGTTTATATATATATTTATATATATAATATATATATATATATAATATATATATATATATATATATATATATAAGTTCTGTTAATAATTGGAAAAATCAAGCAATTCCTTTCCGTTTCAGAAGAAAAAAAATCGCATACAGCCTGTGGTTCACCCATTTTCAGTTGCGTATTGAAGTTTTCGAGGAATGCAATAGTTGCTTTTACATTTTATGAAATAAGTGCTAATTATATATTCAAGTTACCCGGCCTAGTTTGTAAGGAAAAATAAAATTTTCTTTATGAACATTGAAATGATAATAACACATGTAACTGAATTATTATAGTTGTCATTGATTGTTGACTTGTAAATCAAATGTTAAACCAACCGCAAAATAAATATTGCTGCGTATACAGGGAAATTTAAGGATTATTGTTAATCCGGGTTGCTTTGGAACATTCCATGTACCATTTTATTTTATTATGGAGCAACATTTAAAGGAACACCATTATTTTCTTTTATGGAAGGTAACCTGGTTACATGTTCAAGTGATTGAGATAAGCATAAACGTTTTCTTTTTGTTTTGGTGATCGAAAAGAACATAGAACTGGTTCACTTTTATTGCCAGTGTTTGTTTCCTTACAGAGTACATGGTTCACCTAAATTGTGTTACTGCAACATCTCTCGTTCTGAAATATAACATTTAGTATTTTGACGTGGAACAGAGCCAAAGATTCTTGTTAATTTTGGGGTGAATGTGCTCTCAAGTACAATATAGCCTTGCAGAACTCTGATCTAAGATAGTAAACGTTCATAAAATTTCCAATTTATTACAAGAAATTATATATGGAACATTTATTACCCATTCATCACAGTTTATTGTCTTTTTTTGACTAATAAAGTCAAATAACTACATGTGTTTTCTATTGCCTGTTACGCTGCATATGGTTTTCGTATTTACATTGGATGAGCTTAAGAAAATTGAAGACAAAGAAAAGTTCCCAAAAAACAAGAAACAAAGTCTAATGAGAACAATTGTAATCATTTCCTGCCTTTCTTATAATGGTTACAGTGTTAAGTAATCAAATTAAAATACCTTGATCATGACAGTCTAGTAATATTTGAAGAATATATAAATGCCACCAGTAATTAACACTTGTGGTGGAATGGGTAATGAAACAGTTATATTCCTCTTTGTATATAATGTGTTTATTCACTATATACACTAACAATGATCCATAGAGCAATTCAAGCGAGCAAGAGCAACCAGCAATAAAGCTAATATTCATATGTCAATGAAAATATACCTGAGTACTAGTAATATATATAAGAATAGGATTAATATATATCAATACATATATCTAAAGGTTATGAAAGGTTGAACTTCCCACACCTGTGTCTGGTAGATCACAAATTGATTTGTTAGATGTATGAGGCTCAAATAACTTCATGAGTCCCTAGGAGACTGCTGTTCTGCCCAAGTTTTTATACAAAAATCAATTCCTCTGTCTTGATCATACAGAATTGTAAAAACATATATAATGTCTAACAATTTCCTTCTTAACAAAGGCCCCCAAAAAAGCAAAAACAAAATCTGACTCTTACAGTGCTCAACAATTATTCCAAACTAATGATGCCTGGTAAATTTTTACCAGAGTCATTTGTTTATCAGTACACTAGACTACAGCAAGTCAAGTTTGGTATTAGTATGTTTATTGTATACTCTGTCTGTGTTTGTATTTGTGTGGACATTCAGGAAATTATTAAAACACACTGTAGGTCAAGATAACCCTGGGATGTTTTTGATTTATGTTTAACAGCT